TAACTGGCAGAGAAGAGCATTTTTGTAGACATGTTTGCCACCATTTAAAATTATTCAGGATGGGTGCGGCGGCTCATGCCTGTAATCCTAGCAATTTGGGAGGCCGAGGCGGGCAGATTGCGTGAGCTCAGGAGTTGGAGACCAGCCTGAGCAAAATGGCAAATGTGCACCACCGCCCCCGCCGCCGTCTACTAAAAATACAAAAAATTAGCCAGTTGTGGTGGTGCACGCCTGTAATCCCAGCTACTCTGGAGTCTGAGACAGAAGAAGCGCTTGAACCTGGGAGGCAGACATTGCAGTGAGCTGAGATCACCCCACTGCACTCCAGCCTAGCAACAGAACAAGACTCTGTCTCAAAAAATAAAAAAATTAAAAAAAAAAAAAAAAAGGAACCCAAACAACAAACAAACACACACTCCAGATCAAAACCTGGGCAATTTAAAACAGCAAAAGAAACCTTTAAATTAAAAAATATGTATTTTGTTTAGAGACAGGGCCCCCAGGCTGGAGAGCAGTGGTGTGATCAATGGCTCACTGTAGCCTTGAACTCCTGGGCTCAAGTGATCTTCCTGCCTCAGTCTCCCAAGTAGCTGGAATTGCCTCTTAAAATGAGTTTTGGCCGGGCGCGATGGCTCACACCTGTAATGCCAGCACTTTGGGAGGCTGAGGTGGGTGGATCACGAGGTCAGAAGATCGAGACCATCCTGGACAACATGGTGAAACCTCATCTCTACTAAAAAATACAAAAATTAGCTGGGTGTGGTGGTGCCTGCCTATAATCCCACCTACTCAGGAGGCTGAGGCAGGAGAATCGCTTGAATCCAGGAGGCAGAGGTTGCAGTGAGCCAAGATCTCACCACTGCACTCCAGCCTGGGCAACAGAGCGAAACTCTGTTTCGAAAAAAAAAAAAAAGAGTTTTAACATGTTGCAGCCAGCCAAGGTTACAAATCCTGGGCTATGGGAAATTAGTCTCTAACAAGCTTACTCTGTGAAAATATTTCTCTGAAAAATGAGTGATACATTAGTACAAACAACACTTTGTACTAACTATGAAGGCAAACGGTCCTAATTACTTTCTTTCCTGCCTGGGGTTTTTCAACGTTCCCGCCCGGCTTTGGGTAAGGGAGCTCTCTCAGGGCTTGATGGCTTTGCCTTTGTCCTGTGCTTCTTTCCCAGTGTCCCCACACAACGCTGAGCTTCTCCGTGGCTGCATTTAGACTTTACTGTAAATGTGAGTTTCCGCTGCTCACACACTGCCCCCCATATTATCTTTCCCAGAGAGCCGGAGGCACCCAGTATTCCCAGCTTCTTAGAACAGTGCCTTGCACAGAACAGGCCCTGCGCGGATGAAGCTGCGTATTAGCAAGGAGAGAGATTCTTCTTGTTGTGTTATTAATATAAGAAACGGGTTGCAGGCCTGACTGAATGAGTTCCATTTTTACACAATGCATTAATATAATTGTTCATAGTTCCTTTCACCTGCATTTTAACAAGTTCCCAAAATGAGTATTATCAGTATAATTTAAAAAGTTGACACAAGGAGGAGAGATGGTTACCAATAAAATAGTTACCTACTTGATAACAATCTGCAATAGCGTTAGCTCGGAAACAAGTACCCTTCCTTTCCTTGAAACAAAGTCCCAGTCTCCGGAACATACAACTGGGAGATATATCAACTATGGGGAACCAGAAAAAAACTATTATTTATTCTAACTGATGTACTCCTCTTACTTTTAGGGGTCCAGCGTCTCCAGAGCCTCTACAAGTGCCTCCATTAAACCAGCTTTTGGAAAGAATCTGTTAAGCCCATTCAGCTAAGCGGCACGGGGTCACAGGGCTTTGAGTAGCCTTCCTCCTCTGTGACGCCGAGTAGGGAACCCCCGGACGGGGCTCCACGGTGGACTCTCAGGGGCAGGCACCCGGGACCACCCTACAAAGCCTCGCTCTCCAGGCCACAATCCAGAGCCTCCGGTCTGCGCAGGGTCATCGTTGCATCCAGCGGACGGTATCGAGAAGCCATGCGCTGGCGGTTTGATGCAACGCGACCCTCAGGGCCGACCCAGCGTGTGACCAAGCATAGAATGTTGTTTTTTTTTTTGCTCCTCTCGTTAGTCCCGCTTCACCTGGGGTATGTGATGGCGCCGCCCACCTCCCCACCCCGCCCATTCCAAAGGGACTCTCCCAGCGACCGGAATCAGCCGCGATTCGAGGCCGTGCGGGGGCGACAGCCATCGTCCTACGGGCGACCTGGACCCCGCGCCAAGCCCGCCCCAGCCTCGATGGGACCCTCGATGGGACCCGCGAGGGGCCGCGGGGACTCGGCGGCGACGGGATCGTGGGAGGAGACAGGAGGGTCCCGACGCCCGCCACCGGTCAGATCCTCGGCCCCAAACCCCCGCCTGGCTCCTAAGGACCTGGGTCGGCCGCCCTAGCCCTTAAGGCCACTCACCTCTGCCAGGCCGCTGAGCCGCCGCGCGTTGCCGGGACAACGGCGCGCCAGGAACGCGGAAATAGCCGAAGGTGAGCGAGGCGGCCCCGAGGACGCCCGAAGCGCCCCGAGCGGCCGGAAAGAGCCGAAGGCGATCGGGCACGCACGTGCGGCTCCGAGGTCTGAGCGCCGGGGGCCGGGTTATTCCGTTCTGCAAAAGAGAAGCCGGCGAGCTTTTTTTAGGAGAGACGGCGGCGCAGGGCCGGCGTCCGGGTCCCCTTCGTATTGAGGGCGCGCTGTCACAGCCCCAATCGACCGCGGCATCCTCCCCTCCTGGGCGTGTTCCCCTCCCGTGCATCCCGAGGCGGGGCCTTGCCAGCGCCGGGCGGTCTCAGCCCAGGCCTTCGTTGGGCTCCGCTTTTCTAGCCTGGGAGTGGAGGGCGTGGGTCAGGCGTTTCTGGGAAAGTCGATGCGCTCGGCAGTGGCCTGAGCTGTTGGGTGACAGGGCCTGTGTCCATTGCCGGGCCCCGGACTCCACAGAAAGGAGCAAGGCAGGGAGCGCCCCCCAGAAAGCAGCTGGCGGCCGGGCGCGGGGCTCGCGCCTGGGCTTCCAGCGCTTGGGAGGCCGGGGCGGGCGGATCGTTGGAGCCCAGGAGTCCGAGACCAGCCTGGGCAACATGGCGAGATTCCGTCTCTAAAAAAATTACAAAAATTAGCCGGGTGCGGTGGCGCCTGTAGTCTCAGCTACAGGAGGCTGAGGGAGAAGGATCGCCTTAGCTCCGGGAGGCGCAGCTTGCAGTGAGCCGAGATCGCGCCACTGCACTCCAGCCTGGGCGACAGAGCGAGACTCTGTCTCAAAAAAAAAAAAAAAGGAAAAAAAAAAAAACACTAGAATTTGAAAAACACCCCTCTGCTTTGTTGCTATGAAGAAAATGACCAAGTGCCCAGCGCCGCTCGGCCACGCTAACCTAGCGCAGAAGCACACACCCCACTCAGGAAAGGGTGCGCGAAACTGCCTCGGACGCGCTGCCACACTTCTCCTCAGAACTCAGGTTCGCGCCCGATTCCACACTTCGAGCTACCACGGCGTTTTCTTCTCCTGTATCCGTCAACACGGCTGCGGCCAATCACAGCACGGGCCCTGGCCTATTGGCCGCCTGTCCACCAATCCGAAGAGACGCACAGTCCGCAAGGTCGCGAGACTGGCGTCACAACAGTACTCGCGCCGTGGGCTCGCCCCCTACGCCCACCGGGCGAGCGCGCCCGCCCAGACCTAGCCAATGGGGGCGCCGTTTTGCGGAGACGCGCCCTAAGAAACCTTGGGCGTGCTCGCCCCCGCGCTCGTCGCCTCGCCCCGCGCGCCCGTGCGCCCCGGCCCCGCCCCCGCGCGCCGTCCGTGCGGCCCCCACCGGCCGCCGTAGCCGGAACTGCTGCTGAGCGCGGCGGGCCGGCTTTGCTAGGCTGAGCTGCGGCAGTATCAGCGCCCGCAGCTCCCTCAGCCGCGCGCCGGCCCGCGGAAGGGACGTGCCGGGGCTAGCGCCACTCGGCCAGTCGCTCCCAAGGCGGACGACCAGCCAGGCGTCGCCGCCTCACTGCAGCCGGCGCTCGGGGGCCGGGGCTGCCCGGCCCGGCTGGTTCTGCGGGCACCCGGGGAGGCCCCGGGAAGCCAGGCTGCCGCCCGGCGTTGATGAAAAAGGTGACCAAAGCTGGGCGCTGGGGCTGTCATGGCGAGGCCGGGCCAGGGGGTCCTGTCGGGCGGCGCGGGAGAGCGCGGGGGAGGCGTCGCTTCCACAGCGCGCGGTACAGCCAGAACCGGCCTCGGGGCGAGGAGGCTTCTGCGTCCCCATCGCGAGACGCGCGCCGGTGCGGAGCGGGACGGGGCTCGAGGAGACTGCGCCTCCGAGAACGGTCCAGTCTCGTTGGAGGTTCTCGCGAAAGGGAGGCCATCCCCGTGCTCGTTGGCCCTTAGGGTAAAATCGGGACGGCGTCGGTCTTTTCAGTGGCGAAGAGCGCGTCCCCGTGCTCGGTCGGCGTCTCGGGAGTGGAGCCCGGCGAGCGGGCGAGTTCACTCTGGGGGCCGAGTTGGTTTTGCTTGGGTCCCGCGTGGCCTGCGGGCGGACAGGCCCCTGGGCAGCGGGCTTCTCTGGAGCCCGAGAAGAGGTCTTTGGGGGTTTGGGCTTCTTGAGTAGAAAGGGGTGGGAGGAGGAGGAAGAGTGGGAAGTCCTCTGCCACGAAGTGCCTTCAGGTGGGGTGTTTGTCGTGGGTGGTTTTGTTCTTTGGCAGAGTTTTTACAAACTAGCGTGAACTCAAGGGATTCGCTAGACCAATTCCCACAGGAGAAACCGGCCACGGATCCTTGCGTGATCTGCACCTCAGGGTGGGGGCATCAGTGCGACTTTGAAGCCATTTTCCCCATGTCTGGGAAAGAGAGGTCCTCGCCCGCGTCCCTGTATTTCGTGGTTAGTGTTGGTGCCTCGATCGTGTGTTCCTTGGAAGTGGAAATGCCCCCGTTCTCATCAGCTGTGTTGAACGCAGGGTCAGTATCTGCTGAGGAATCTACTCTTCAGCCTTTTTGCTTCCTCACACGTGCCTGTCCCGGACTGTTTCTGGGCTGAAGCGGTTGGTGTGTACCTGATTCTCTGAGTTTATTTTTGAATGGCTCCGCTTTCTGGGCTGCAGCATTTTTAGTCACTGCATTTTGTTGTTGACATTTTACAGGGCAGTGGGTAGCAAAGTTAATGTAATAATTTTATTAATTGCTGCCAAGAGTTTTCACACCAATGTCTTCTACCGCTTCTTGCACTTGGACCCGGACATAACTGGGCTGTCACTTTCCCGGGTGGTTCCAGCCTGTTCCATGCAACAGGCTCCTTTGTTGCAAAAGCATTTTTAACTGGTAAATCCTCGCAGCAGCTCACATCTCCCACCCTGGGAAGAAGATTCCCAGAGACCCGGAGCTGATTATTCTTTACGTGTGTTTTAAAATAAGCAGGCGGGCCGGCGGCATTGGGCCACCATGGAGTTCCCCGTGCGGGCAGGCGAGCCCGCGCTTCTCCCGTCCCAGGGTGGATCCGGCCTCCTCCGCCCTCCTCTAGGGCCAACCCTGGGGGCCAGCGCGCGGGGCAGGTGCGCGGGGCCCGGGAGCCCCGCGCCTTTCGGGGGGCGGGGAGGGGGTGGGACGAGGGGCTAGGGCTGGGGCTGCGGTCCGGCCGGCCGAGGCGGCGCAGGGAGCGAGGCCGGCGCTTAGGGCCAGGCCATGAGCCGCGGCCCCGCCGGGTAGGTGACTGCGGACGGCGCGGCGGCCCGGACCCGCAGCCGTGCCCGGACTCGCGCCCGCTCCGGGGGTCCCATAACCCCAAGGGCCGGGGCCGGGGCCGGGCAGGGTCCGCCGAGCTGTCGCGCCCTCCCGCCGCCGGCCTGGGCGTCTGGACGCGGGCCTCGGCCAGGGGGCGTCCGGGGAGGCCCGGCAGGGTCCCGGGCCGGTGGGCAGAGCCGGGGGCGGTGGCGTGGGGGCGGCAGGGGCCGCGGCGGGCTCGGGCGGGCTCGGGCGGGCCGGGCCGAGCCGCCGAGAGGGGATTTGGAACAAACAACGGCGGCCATGTTGAGAGCGCGTCGGGGCCGCTAAACTTCCCGGCCTGCGCCCGCCTCACCGGCCGCCTCCCCTCTCCCGGCCGCAGGATGACAGTGAAGTTGGGCGACGGCGGCAGCGGGGAGGACGGGCTCAAGAAGCTGGGCAAGCGGGCGGCCGATGAGGAGTCCCTGGAAGGAGAAGGGGCCGGCGGCGCAGACGCGGCCGAGGAGAGCAGCGGCACAAAGAGGGACGAGAAGACCCCCCGGGCCGGCGCCGACGGCGCCCCCGCGCCCCCCGGCGCGCCGCAGGCGTCTTCCCCGCCGCAAGGCAGCCCCCAGGACCAGCACCACTTCCTCCGGTCCAGCGTGCGGCCGCAGAGCAAGAGGCCCAGGAAGGACCCTCCGAGCGCCCTGGGGAGCGGCAACGCCGGTGGCTCGGGGCCCCGCGGAAAAGGTAGGGCGACCCGTCACCTTGGGAGACCCCAGCCCCTCTCCGGGGTGTGCCGCGGGGGAGAGGAACCCATCGCCCCAGCCGGGCTCCACCCTAGCTCACCCATCCCGCGGCCTGCACTGAGGCCCTCACTTTGGGTGGCACTTCTCGGGCATGTGTCCCCTCTCTCCTTCGAAGAGGCTGCGACTTTCTATATTTAAACTCTTTGAAGAGGCAGTGAATATCCTTTCTTGGGGTGAGTGAAGATATCCCTTAAAGCTGTTTCCTTCCCAAAGGATCACTGATGGTTTTCTATGGTTGTCTGTTTCAAACAGTGGACAATATTTGGGAAAGGGGAAGAGAAAAAAAGTACCTGCTGTGTCTCTTTCCCAGACATCAGGCGGTGGAAATGCACCAAAGGCGCAGGCTTTTGAAACTCATTGGGGGAAGATGGGTAAGAAGCGGAGAAAGGATCATTGGGGTCTGACTTGGACTCACTGTCCTCTCCTTCAAGAGCTCCTGGCTTGAAAGTAGGAAGGGCATAGAGATGGGGCCCTTTGAGTTGCAACTGGAGTTTACTTCTGTGCCAAAGAAAGGAAAGAGTGGTGAAAACGATTGACGTGAACAAGCAACAGTTTGTAGTGTTCGCCCTTGTATTCTGAGGTGATGGCGAATGTTGCTACTTAGCTGGGGTCTCTACCAAGATAGTAAGAAAACGACATGTTAGTTTTGTTCTCCATGTGCCAGTACTTCATTGTTGTCTGCTTTTGTTTCTATTTCAGCCTTGTGCTTTTCCTTACACAGGTGAATGGCTCTTTGATTCCTTTTGTTTCCGACCACATGTGCAGTACTTTGTATAAATAGCAAATATAACATCAACTTCCAGTGAGTTTCACGTGAAAAAAAAATCTTTCACTTCCTTCCTTGGGAAATGTTCATTTAAATTCCGTGAATGGTCCTGGTAGTTTTGGAAAGGAAATATATTAGGAACTAATGGAGAAACTGCTTTGGAGATGTGTGCCAAGTGTGTTCCATTGAGCCCACTTCTCCTGCCTCATTCTCAACGGAAGAAGGCTGGCCTCCAGAATCATGGCCTTACACATTGGTAAATAATTCTGATATAAGTTTACTTATTTAAAGATGTAAATATCAGGTAACTTAGCACGTTTCAGAATTTAAAACTTGCCTCATATAAATTTATTTTGGTGTGAAAGTTGCTGATCAATTTGGCAAACATGAGTGGCTTTGCTTGTTACTAGTTTTTTATTGCTAGTTACAGGTATGTCTAAGCTCATGTAAGCTCCATGGTTCCTTCAAAGGTTTGTTGTTCATGGTTCAGAAGCCCTGGACCTCGAGTCCAACTGGCATTCGTCCCCCATGCCCCTGGTCTCCAAGCTTGCTCTGCCCCTTCACCCTCTTGGAGATGCTTCTCTGTCGGGTGTGCTCACCTGTGAGACAAGGAACGAGAGTAGCTGCTTCAGCCCTTTGAAGTGCAGCTGCTAAAATGAAATGGCACGTTGGTGTGAAAGCACTCTCAGACGTGTCCGTGGCTACTAGTATGAATAAGTGAAGTGCTGCTAAGACGTTAGTGATCAGGTAGAGTTTTGGCAGTTGGGATGAGGGGAGGCTTGCTTTTGTTTGTATGGTTGAGAGTGGCTTGCTAAAGTGCAGAAGGTTTCCTGAGCTTGGCTCACGCTCAGGTCGCTGGCACTTCTTTCTCTGCTTGTCCCGTTGTGTGGCTTGGAGAAGTGTGGGACTTTTCATTATGTTTTCATATTAATAAAATGCAAACTTATTAGTATTTGTTCTCACCATGACATATCCATTATCCCACTTTAGCAAGCAAATAATCTCTTTTTTTTTTTTTTTTGAGATGGAGTCTCGCTCTGTGGCCTAGCCTGGAGTACAGAGACGTGATCTCAGCTCACTGCAAACTCTGCCTCCCAGGGTTCATAACATTCTCCTGCGTCAGCCTCCCAAGTAGCCGGGACTACAGGTGCCCACCACCATGCCTGGCCAATTTTTTTTTTTTTTTTTTTTTTTGTATTTTTAGTTGAGACGGGGTTTCACTGTGATAACCAGGATGGTCTCGAGCTCCTGACCTTGTGATCCGCCCACCTGGGCCTCCCAAAGTGCTGAGATTACGGGCATGAGCCACTGCACCTGGCCACAAGCAAATGTATCTTTTTTTTTTTGTTTTTTGAGATGGAGTCTTGCTCTGTTGCCCAGGCTGGAGTGCAGTGGCCGGATCTCAGCTCACTGCAAGTTCCGCCTCCTGGGTTTACGCCATTCTCCTGCCTCAGCCTCCTGAGTAGCTGGGACTACAGGGGCCCGCCACCTCGCCCGGCTAGTTTTTTGTATTTTTAAGTAGAGATGGGGTTTCACCATGTGAGCCAGGATGGTCTTGATCTCCTGAGTTCGTGATCTGCCGGTCTTGGCCTCCCAAAGTGCTGAGATTACAGGCTTGAGCCACCGCGCCCGGCCGCAAATATATCTTTAAGCAAATAATAAACTAAGCTGTAATGGTGGCTTTTAGGAGAGGAGTAGGAAGTGGGTCTCCTTTGCATCTCAGAACTTCTTGGCCACTGTCTGCCTCAGAGCTTCCCAGGAAGGAAGGCTGCCTGTCCGCTGCTCTCTGCTTTCAGGTTCCTCGGTGCCTTGGGAGGCACTTCACTGCCCAGGACACCCTCTGACACCAGTCTTTGGAGAGACCTCTGCTCAGTCGTCACTTCCATTACCCGTCAGAAAAGAAGGCCGGGTGGTGGCAGTTGCCACGCAACACTCTTTAGCTCACCTTCAGAGCAATGCTCAGGGGAGAATCCTCTTACATTCTGGAGAAATCTGCATCTGGAGTGGTGAGCATCTGTCAGTGAGGAAACGATCAATACTTCATTTTTCAATTTTTCACTTGGAAATGATGTAACTTCGATTATGCCTAAGGAATACATAGCTCAATCACTGGCAGTTCCTTTGGCTGATTACTTACTGCCCTTGCCAATTTCAATCTCAGTGGGCCGGAGACTCACAGTGAATCTGGAAGAAAGGACTTGTGGATAAAGGAAAGCCTCTCCTTGTTTGACGTTTGACTTTTGTGCGTGCGAGTGTGTTTTCTTTTTCTGTAAGAAGAGACTGTTTATTGGCTCCAATGAAAAATGCTTTTTTTTCTAGTACAATTTCAAATTTAAATTTTTTTGCATTGATAAAGGGTTGGTAGCTGTGATTTAGTGCTTGTGTGCCAGGCATCTTGCATCTCTGTAATTTTGCTTTTAGATGAGTGCAGAACCTGAAGTAGATTGTTTAAGTCACGTGCTCAACCTAAACAGAAGGTAAGCTGCAGGCCAGAAATCCCAAAACAGACATTCCTGCAGCTCTACTACACCACCCACGTGACCCTGGGACGCACGGGAGATTTTGGCTCAGAGCCGCAGAAACCATCTGAAAGACGTCGGTCACGAGACAGGGTCCTAATACCTTTCCCTGTTTGGCCAGTTCGTGGTCCGGCTGGCCCTGGGCAAACTAGTCCATCTTTGGGATAAAATAAACACCTGCCTCCGAATCGCTTGAACCCGGGAGGCGGAGGTTGCAGTCAGCCAAGATTGCGCTGTTGCACTCCAGCCTGGGCAACAAGGGCGAGCCTCCGTCTCAAAATAAATAATAAATAAAAATAAAAATAAACACCTGCCTTAAGCCATAAGGTGTTTAACAGGCACCTGGTGTTTCTGCCATGAAAAATGCATGCCGCTTCAAGATTACAGGACTGCAGGAGGAGGCTGCACAGGCTGGCGGGCTAAGGGGCCTACCTGTGGGGTGAGTAGAAGTCCAGGAATGCTGGTGCTCTGCTGGGGCAGATGGGATGAGAGAACACTGGGGGTGGGGACAGAGAGCCTCTGCTTATTTTAGTCCCCCTCACTCACTCCGAAGAACTGCAGTTCCATCATGGATGGGGAAATGCACCATCTCCAAAATAGGGTAGTGTAGTCTGAAGTGACAGCCATTTGTGTGTAGGAATCGGTAAACAACTGTGCACAATTTACTCTTTATATTTTGTATGATCTGTGTACTGATTGTAGTTTCTAGGTATTTCAAAAAGATGTCTTATAAAAGATTGTACTTGTAGTCCCAGCTGCTCAGGAGTATGAGGTGGGAGGATCACCTGAGGCTGCTAGTTGGAGGCTGCAGTGAGCTGTGGACATTGCACTCCAGCCTGGGTGACACAGCAAGACCCTCTTTCAAAAACAAAACAAAACTAAAAAAGATAAAGTAGGTAAGGCAACATTTAAACATTGGTTTGAAGGCTGAGCTGCTTTTCAAATACCTATATACTTTTGATATTGAAACTAGTTTCTGTGGTGTCTGTTGTTGTGAAGTTGTCTAATGAAGTAGACTTTTCGATTTTCATTTTTGTGTCTTATTTTGGGTTATATAAGGATATCGAGATAACAGGGAGATGCTTCCAGATGTCTAAATCAGAAACGTGAAAATTGACATTGTTGTATAAAGTGGTGTGTAGAAGCTACTTTGTCGCATAGGTAACAGCAGTGAGGTTTGTGTTTTGTTTTTGTTTTGTTTTTGAGACGGAGTCTTATTCTGTCGCCTGGGCTTGGGTGCAGTTGTGCGAGCTCGGCTCACTGCAATCTGCGCCTCCCAGGTTCAAGCAATTCTCCTGTCTCAGTCTCCTGAGGAGCTGGGACTGCAGGCGCACGCTGCTACGCCCGGCTAATGTTTTGTATTTTAGTAGAGACGGAGTTTCACCATGTTGCCCAGGCTGGTCTCGAACTCCTGAGCTCAAGCAATCCGCCCGCCTTGGCCTCCCGGAGTGCTGGGATTTCAGGCGTGAGCCACCATGCCTGGCACAGCAGCATTTTTAACACTAAAGAACCGCATTAGAGACGCGGAAAAGATGAGACGTTCTAGGAGTTTGTGGTTTCGTTGGGATATCGTGAAATACTTACAGGATACAACTAGAAATCTTCTGATGTTTGATGAAGAGGGCATACGCTTTTATAGAAATAGTGGAGTTATAG